TCTCTCACACACACACACACACACACACACACACATAGATACACACACTGAATAGATTATAATACTTAAATGTAAAGAAAATACACTTTGGGATGGGGATATAGCCTGTTGGTTAATGCTTGTCTATTTTATACAAGGCTTTGAGTTAGATCAATAGCACCACACAAAATGGGCTTGGTAAGCATATGCCTTTGATCCTAACATTTGAGAGGTAAAGGTAAAAGGATCAGACGCTCAAGGTTATCCCCAGCTGCATAGAGAGAGTGGAAGTTTGAGGTCATCTTGGGGTAGAGACCCTGACACAGAAAAAGAAAAGAAAACAAAATACACATTGCCATCTGTCCCCATGCACCAAAGACATCTTTTCACAGGAGTGACACTATCTTTTAGGTCACCAGTATGCTTAGAAGTTAGCTATTTGTTAAGTACAATTAATTGTATGTCAAGACCATACAGAGAGTTAAGTATCACCGCCATTTTACAGATGAGGAAATATAAGTGTAGAGAATTGGCATGGCTTTCCCAGAATGTCGAGGCAAAACCCAAACCTAGGTTTACCTGACTCCAGAAACCCAGCTCTTTGCCAATTACACCTCAGAACAAATCTAGTCTTTCTGCTTTCAGCAGAAGAATGCAAAAGCCAGCCCACACTGACAAGAGCAGTTCCCAATCCCACACAATGTTTAACTACCCTCATGATCAGGAAATCGTTCACTGGTTTAACAAATATCCCTCCAAACAATGTGGAAATTCATTTCCTCTTGACTGGGTTTTTCATGCAGGCTGTTCTTGGCAGCTTTCCCGATATCAAAACCGTCATTGGGATCCTATTCTTACACTCCAGGGGGTCTTGGACTTCTTGGCCTCTACTCAGAGTACTCTCACTGGCTCCTTTGAACCCCCCCAACCTCTTCCCAGACAGTGCTGAGTTGGGCAAGTCTTGAGGAGTGAGAAAGTGACACGAGAACATATTGGCTTATTATTACACACAGGAGTAAAATTAACCACATGAGATGCCTTTAGAATTGCCAAAGGGATGATGGAACCCCTTTCTCATCATGTTTGCATTTTTCTTGATTTTTATTCTGTTCTCATGTTTCAAGTTGCTGAATCATCTATTGAAAGGATGTATGTGTTACTCAGAGAAGGCTCCTTTGGGGGCTCAACTGAGAAACTAGTACAAATTGTGGTGTCAGTAGCTGAGCTGTGGCTAAATGCATCTTTCTTCCAGAAAATGGACTTCATTTTTAAATCAAGGCCTTCAATGACGTTAAAACAAGGGAATAGTGTATTCACCGTATCATCAGGTGAATGATCTGATGTTGATCATTGTCTTGCGTCCCACTGGGTAACGCCAGAAGCAAAGTCGGGCAACAAAGCTGCAGGGAGCGTCTTCTGTTTATACTTCTGGGGCCTTTGTCCCAAGCAACCTCCACGAAATTGTTTTCAAATGATCCAGGGTGAAAGTGTGGATGGTGTTCCTGCCACATCACTCATCTGTTGTCTAATGTCCCATCTCATAATACCTTCTACCTTTGGAAAAGCATGCAAATGGTCTCAGTGTTATCTCTCTACAAGATCATGAGTGTTTGGACACAAAATTCCTCAAAGCCCTTCCAGGAGTGACTTGTGAAGTGGTGAAAGTATCATTTTAGAGAAATAAAACTTCATGAATGGCAAGAAAGCAGCAATTCTCTCCTTTTAAAAAGCCCAATGATGTGCTCTTGTTATGGTGGCTTACTGCTTTGTCAAGCCCTGGAGCAATGAGCCCTAGAGCAGAGCACTGTGGGTGAGAGCTAACTAGGAATTCCCAAAGTACAGCTCCCACAAGTGTGGTGGGTTGTGGGTGGAAGAGTGGGGTAGTCAGATTATCACTATACCTGATAACTACTACCTGTTAATCTTTCATCAGTGATCACACCACAACATACAGTGAGCCACCACTTAGGGCAGAAGACAAAGATAACCTACTGGACTTCCTGTTTGAGGTTGTTACTCTCTTGAGATTACAGGATTTCTTACCAAATCCAGGAGCCATTTGGGCAGGGAGAGCAAGCTCAGTGAAGGCCAGTCTTCCCCCATCTGAGGAGGAACACACAGACTTCACATTCTAGAGCCTTTATGCTCTAGAGCGGGAAGCTACAGGCATGAAGAGATCTCCTGTTCATGGGCCCAGACAGAGGGAGCATTTGACCCTGCAAGACCTCAGTTGCTTTCCTATTGCACTGAGCTGCTACTCTCCTCCCACACTTGTGTTTCTCCTCTGGTCCTGAGCCAAAAGTTCCCAGGATACCTGCAATGGCACTGCTTCTGCTACCCCAGTGATTGATTTCTGAAGAACTGCCTAAGGGAGGGAGGAAAGGGAGAAACGGCTGAGTCCCAGGGCCACTACCTCTCTTGGAGCCCCATAGAGATCTTGTGAGAACAACTCTGAAGGATAATGGCTCACCTGTGCAGCATGGCCCTCCTTCCTCCTTAGCATAGCAGCCTATTTCTTAAATTCGAGTCATTCTTCAGTTGCAAGAAGCAGGGGTTTTAAACCATGCTTTCCAAACTCAGTGTCAGATCCTTGTTTTATGTGGCTTAGTGTTTAAGGGAATTTGCATAAATATTTTTCTTAACCCCTGACACCTGTAACCTTAGGCCACTTTCCCCCATATCTCTTGCAGGACAGTCTGTGTTCTGATTTGTACTGTAGTTAGGTGTGCATGACTTTTCTTCCCTTCTTAGCTGTCACCTTCGCCAAGGCACAGACTTTACATTGTTCACTCTTGTCACCCTCAAAGCCCTTACTTGGTATGTTGTCTGACACAGAGTAACAGTTCAATTAATGTGGGCTGACTGAACAGGGGTCATTTGAGTGGCTGCTTGGCTGAATAAATGTCTCAGAAATCTGGGCCTTGCCTTTTCACAAAGAAGCCAGTTTCAGTCTCCCCACCTCCATTAATGGTGGGGAGAACATGAGTCACTCTAGTATCGGAGGACTGAAGGAGGCCAAAACATCTGTCTTTGTGCAAGGTTCAGAGCCATGAGGGCATAAACACAATGCCCTTTACTGTCCCCTCAGTCTACGGTTAATCTAAATTACTTTATGATAGAAGGCAATGAATGAGGGGGGTGCTTAAGCTGTTCAAATTGGACCAAGACTTAGGAAATTTGGAAACTGTTCAGAGCAAGACTTTTCTTGCTCAACCAACCACAGGGATCAATGACTTCTTATCAAGTCTGTTGTGATTTTCCATCTGAGGATGCATTTCTAATTCCTTCCATTGAAACTTCCTAGATTAAGATAGGTTGTAAGAAGTCCAGGGGCAGCCTAACACTACAACAAAAGGAATTTCTGTGACCAACTTCCCTCACAAGCCCTTCTGTTTCATGGAAGACAGAGAAACAGAGTCTTTGAATTTGAAGATCAACAGGCCCTCATATATCTTCTGAAAGAAGAATCTCATGACTGTGGGAAGAGTTTCCAAAGTTATTCACAGATTCTGATATTCTGTAACTTGAGAGACTGCTCACCTCTCTAGCCCTACACTTTATCTCCTATGAAAAACCTGGTTCCCTGAGGAGTTTGGAGGATGCTGTGAAGTTGTTAGGTCTGGACATGCTTTGGCTGCCAGGCAATGGGTCATCAGAACTGTCATCAAGGCAGGAACATTAAAGAAATTCAATCTTTCAGCCTCCAGTGGCCCCATATCAAGCTCCAGGAGTCCTGGTACCAGACTGGGGAATCCTGGTACAGACCTGAGATATGACTTGCTGTTATGAAGAGGGCCCTCCTCCTCCCCTCCCCTCTAAATGGACTGAGATGCTGGCTTCTTAAGGCTAGTGTCTGTAATAAACAACTCTGATACGCTCATGCCTCCAAGTTCAGGGGTTGATTAAGCTGAATCTCACAATTTCCCATTATTGTCAGTATTGTCTTAGCATCTTCATGAATTAGGCTTCTATATTTCCTTATGAAACCAAATCATTGGCATCCCAAACTCCTTTTTAGACTCCAGAGTTAGAGAAACCAGAACTGAGGCGTTGCAACTTACATGACCACCTGGCATCCCCCTGGTGGGACAGCTAGCATGGCGGGAGGTGGCAGTTCTAAATGATGAATTCCTAATTTCATAGTTCACCCTCTTGGGAGATCAGGAGAGCCTGGATGTTCCCATTTTACCTTGCTGGGCCCCATTTTCATTAGACTATGTGGAGACTTCTGGAAGACTTTTATTGGCTATGAATATTGCTGGGGTAATAAGTTATTGTTTCCAGAGCCAAGAGACTAGAACACTAACTCCAGCTGTGTAGTACTATGAAAACCTTTTTTCTTGTGTAGATCTTAGTTTTCCCATCTGCCAAATGAAGACAATCAGATCATTTTCACCTTTCTCATACTGGTGGTTTAGATAATGAAAGCAATAAGCACATAACCATTTAGTAACCCAAATTAAATAGTTTTCAAATAAAATTGTTTTCCTGCGAAGGAATGAACCCTGTTCAAGAAAAAGAACATTTCCTTGCCGGCTGGGGAGGGGGGCTTGTCATGCTTTCTGATTATGTTCACCAAAATTTTCTATGTATCCCGTGTACAGAAAGGCAGGCTCAGATATGCCCCTCTTCTTAACCCAATTCTTTTTGTTACATATGCCCTGTCTTAGCCCCACTTTAAATCAATAAAACAGTTACTCAATCAACAAGTGTTTATTGATCACCTAGTAAATGCCTAGCACTGTTACAGTTGGGCCATACATATAGACAGGTCTATGATATGGCACCTGCCCTCCAAGTGCTTACATGAGCTTTTGAGAACACACACACACACACACACACACACACACACACACACATGCATACACACTGAAGCTCACACAAGAGAGAGATAACTATCAAACTATCAATCAAAATTGTGAATGATAAGCATTAAGAAAAAAAATGTATGTATTGGGGGCGTGGAAGAGGGAGAGCAGGAAGGAGTGGTCAGAGACGGCTCAACAAAGGAGGTGATGCTGAGCAAGTTCTCCACACATGGGGAGAACTAAGAGCTAGGAGGAAAGGGCTTCCAGGTTGGTAAAAAAGCTGAACATAGGCAACAAGGTGGAAATACAAAAGGTATATTAAAGGAAATCTCATTGAATGGGCCCCTCTTGATGGCATTGAGGTTTGAGGTATGCTGGATATCTTTTAAAGCTCATGATATTAGGCTGGTGAGGAAAAATGTCTGTGGTTTATGACCCCCACTTACCACAGGGGAAATGGAACATTTTTTGGACCTTGGATGTGGAATCCTTTACCTGGAAATCATACTTTGTCTCCCACCTCGATTGCAATCCCAGGTAGGAGTTCATCTATCCCTCAGATCATAGACACAGCACCTCAGCCACTGGAGACCTTAGGTGTGTTCTAAAATATCTTCTGATGGATAGTGAGGGGAATAGTAAAAGTGACAAGAGACCCATCTGGTGCTGTGTTCTTTCAAAGGCTGTAGTACCCCAGGTTTAGATGTCAGAGGGCTGTTTTCCCATGAGGTCTGAAAACTCTGGGGGTCTGCCTATCTCTGAAACAGTAGATACACACACAACATCCAACATACATGTCCACCCAGCTTCTTAGATACCAAAGTTCTTATTCTTTCTTGGTTAGGGTCAAGGAGTAGTATCTTCCATAGACCCCACAGCTCCCACATTGTCATCTCCTAGTCAAAGAAGGGCACTTCTAGAAAAATTGGTTTATATGAAACGATTGTCTAGGGCCCTAAGTCTTATGGTTTAGGTAAGGAACCAGGTCAGATACCCTCAAGGGAGGCAGAGGCTTGGAACTGCAGCTTCTCGGCAGTTCCTCAGCAGAGTCAGACTGCTGCTCCCTTGTGCTTTCCATCATTATCTTCTTTCCTTCTGATTCCCTGTAGCCATGAGTTCTGTTCCAGACCCTCAAGTGTGAGGGAATTCTGGGAAGTGCCCTGGAAAGCGATTTTGGTCTTTTTTGGTCCCAGGTGTTGTTTTCTGCTGGATATCATGAGAAGAATGTCCTTCAGTTCATGCACAGACCAGTCTGGACACTGTAGTCATATCACGAGTGGGACAGAACTCCAAGGCCTATTACTGACCAATCCAATTCTTTGGAAGAACGTTTGAGAAGGAGGCTAGAGTCATGCTCACAAAAGCCACCACTCCTTCTCCCTGTCCCCCAGCAATTGGATTAAGAGCCATACTCGACCAGAGGGAAAGGGCCTTTGATCACAAACAAGTTCAGTCAGTGAAATGTGATTAATGGGTTTGAGGGTGGATTCTCTGGTAAACCAAAAGGCAGAAGGAAGTCTCTGGGGCTTAGCCAAAGGTGGCAGGGATGGGATTTGGAGTTTTAGATTGAGGATTCAAGGCCCAGGGGGGCAAGGTGAGGAAAATAGAAAGGCTGGCTTGGTGAGTGTCCTTGAAAATTCAACCTACATGCTGTCATATCAGTTCCCATCTCTGCCTTCACTCCATCCAATGGCCAAAGTCAGTCTATTCTCAGCAGCACCTTCCACATGATCCAGTGGCATTGTCTCTCACCTGTGACCCTGGGGGCATTGTCCACTAGTTTTTTATAGACCCATCCACCTCCCCAGCTCTGGCCCCTGGTTCTTCACACATACCCTGTCAGGCTGTAGGAGTTGAACTCACTTTTGGCTTTGGGCTGTTGACCAGGCCTTGGAGAGCTCCTAGTGGCAAGAGGCTGGGCCTGATAGCCATCGTAATAGTTGGTACGATTTCCCTGAGGTGAGCAGGAAAAGCAGAGGATGATTCCAGCTATCAGGGAGAACAGGGAGGAAATAATGCCCAAGTATAGAGCCTCTCCGATCTCAAATTTCATGCTGTCAGGCACCAGTGGTGAGTAGAAGTCCCGTAGGATGCCATGAAGATTCCAGGCAACTGGGATAAAGCCCAGGAGGCCGCCAAGGATGAAGAAAACTCCACCCACTATGGCCACTCTGTCCTTGGCTCGGGATTCCTGGCAAAAGACTGTGCATCTCATTCCCACCACAGAGATAATGCAGGCCAGTGAGGACATTGCACTGGATGTCACCATCATGGCCTGGGCAGCCTGGATGTCAGCAGGAAGTCCTAGAAGGGTGCTATAGATGTCACACTGGGTGATGCCCGTGCTGTGTGTCGCACATTCCATCCAGAGGCCCTTGGAAAAGCCAACTGCTGTCACAATACTGGCACCAACATAAGAACTTGTTCTCCAGTTGGGAAGCAGCATGGCAATCGATGTGCCTAACAGACCCAGAAGGCCTAGGATGTAGCCCACCAGTTGGATGCCAAGGGAGGCCATGGCAGACCTCTCAGTAGAAGTATCTTCAGAGCCCGTTCTCTTGTCTTTGGCTGTGGGTCTTGCTCCTTGGATCCTGGCCTCTAATCCCTCATTTCACAGTGTCTCTGCCAGACTGACTTCTTTCCTCCTTACAAGTATCTGTGGGTGGCCACAAGCAGGCTCAAGAAGTCATCTAGAAAACCTTAAAAAAAAATCCATAAACCAGATTAAATATTGACCAGAAGCTTATGAGAAACCAGAAAACGCTGGATGCCTTTTGACCTTTGTTATCTTTAGAAACAACACACAAGAAAGGAAAAAAAAATCTTTGAAAGTAGAGCCAAAATGTCATCACCTCCTGCGTAGGCACATGCTTTAGGTTGGCAGCCAGACAAAGGCAGGGGCCAAACAGGTGGCTGCTTTCCGAGAAGGTAGTGATGGCAATGGCAATTGTGTGTTAACTCCACTGCAAGCCTCCAAGCCCTGCTGTTAACTTATTACCAAGCAACAGCACCACGGGGCCTCTCAGTTGCAGACTGAGGCCAAACTCCAGGAGACTGGATCAGGAGAAACCCATCCTAGAACTAAGCCGTTAGAGACTATTTGAATCTCCAAGGGACTAAAGAGTAATGGCTTAGCCATGAATCATCCTTAGGACTAAAATATACTTCCAAGGCAGATTGGAGTGGGTAAAAAAATCTTTCTGCTCATAGTCTGAGAGTTCAGGTCTTCCTAGCTTTGCCCAGATCTCTCTCTGAAGGCTAGCCTGAGGGCCCCTGCATGTATAACACCCCAAGTATTTCCAGTCTGTCTCCTAACAGATATTCCCGTAATCAGCCTCTCAGAGGACACAGGAGGAATCTAGAGAAAAGCTACTCCAGGACTTAGAGGGAGTCCTCAAGGTTCCTTGAGAGGGCTTTGCAAGAGGTGTGCATCCAGCAATGTACAGGATTTTGAAATATTCATGGATTCTTCACTCTTTCCAAGGTTCAAGACACTATAAATATGAAAATCACACCCTTTTCACTATCTTCTACAACACTATGCAGCTCACTAATTTTTAACCCACTGTAGTGTTGCTACATCATCTTTTTATAAAAATATTTTATTTATTATTTTTATTTTATGTGTACAATTGTATTGCCTGCATGTAGGTAGGTGCACTCATGTTGTGCAATGCCTGTGGAGGTCAGGGGAATGCATCGAATCCCCTGGAACTGGAGTTACAGATGGCTGTTAGCTGCCATGTGGGTGCTGGGAATTGAATCCCGGTCCTCTGCAAGAGCAGTGAGTGCTCTTGACTCCATCTTAACCTTTCTCTAAATTTCTCCTTCCATGCTCATATCTCAAATGTAGGTATTAGTCAGAAGTCCATTCTTTTCTGAATTAACACTCTATTCACTGAGCAAACACCTCTGCCCCATGAACTGATCTCTTCTCCAACCACTGGCACTTCCAAATATGAATTTTCAGTAGCAACCCTTCTGACAGTCAAGACTGGCAAATGAATTTGGAGACGTAGTTCAGTAGGAGAGCACTTTCCTAGCAAGCACAAACTTCTGGGTTTGATTCCCCAACACCAAAAAAAATATTTCCACATGGAAATCTCATGAGTACCTGAAATTTGATGCATCCAAGAGAACAGAGCAGCTCTCTCTTTGTACCTTTCTTCAATCAGTTCTTGCTTGGGTTCGCAGGAGTCACTGATTGATGGTATCTGTCTCTATCCCCTTATATCAAATATCCTGGTAGTGATTCTCCATGCCCCTGTCCTGTTTATCCCATGTGTCCTGTAATTACTAAGTTTCACTAGTTCTATCTCCTTAATTTAGCCTAAATCCCTGATGCCCATTTTACACTTCCTAATACAAGGCTTCATTATTCTTCCTCCTTCACATGGAAAACAAGTTTCCCAACTGGTCTTACTTCCAACCTTGTTCTTCCAATCCAGTGTCCAGATTGTTGCCATGGGGATATTCCAACACATTAATCTGATGAAGTTATTGTGTGGGGGGGGAGTGCACACATGTTCATGTGATAGTGGGTGCTCATTGATGCATGTGCATGTGGAGAACAGAGGCTGATTTCAGTATGTTCTGTAACCGCACTCATTCTTTTTTAAAAATTCTTACACTTATTTATTTTATCATGCCTGTGTCTATGCACGTACGTATGTACCTGTGAGGGTGTACATGTGTGCCTGTGGCGGTCAGAGGACAGCTTAGAGTTTTCTCATTTCTGGAGATCAGACTCAGGTTATCAGATTTGGCAGCAATTACCTTTCAGTGTTGAGCCATGTTGCCATCCCTTCATGTTTTTGGGGTTTTTTTGTTGTTGTTGTTTTGTTTTGTTTAGTTTTTTGAGACAGGGTCTCACTATGTAGCCTTGAATGGCCTGGAACTCACTGTGTAGACCAAGCTGTCCTCAGACTCACAGAGATCTACCTGCCTCTGCCTCCTGAGTGCTGGGGTTAAAGGCATGCAACACTATGCCGGGTCGCTTCATTTTTTTGAGATAGGATCTCTTACTGAATCTGGACCTTGCTGTTTTGACCATACTGATTGGCTCCTGTCATTTGCCTCCCCTTCTCCAAAAGCAATTGCTAGGGTTACATACAACTTGAACTCAAGACTTCATGCTTGTACTCAAGCACTTTACCCAACCTCATGTTGCTATTCTAAATAAGACATTCCAATAGCTCACCATTGGTCAAAGTTCAACCTGTTTGTATTCTTTGACCTCCCAACCTTTGCCTCCTGTCATTCACCTGCTCAGACTCCATCCTCTTGCTAAACTAAATCACTGTCAGCTCTTCAGTCTTGCCATGTGGTGTTTAGCTTCCAAATCTGAATACATCCTGTTCTATGAAGAACGTCTAGCACTCTTCTTCTGTGTGGTGCTTTCTTAAACATTAGGAATTGGCTTAGATATCTCTTATTCTAGACCTGGTCAAGTGTCCCTCTTCTATATTCTTGTAGTACTTTATATCCATTTTCTTTCATCATCATTATTATAGCAATAACAATAGCAACACATATAGACCTTGTTTCCTCTTCTTACTTTTGTTTTCTTTTTCTTCTTGAGCTCTGGTGTAGTCCAGATCAGCCTCAAACTCATGATTCTCCTGCTTCAGCCATTCAAGTGTTTGGAATACAGATATGACCACCATGCATGTCTCTACAATGTTTCTTATGTGACCATTTTATATGTGTTCACTCAATTATCACAACTTTTTCATAATAGATACTAATAATATCTACTGTATAATAGATGAATAAATTGAGGTCGTATCTGCATACATTTTGTATCATATTTAACTTTCCTGTTTAAATTCATTTTTCTCTGCTAGTATGTGAGCTACTTGAGGGCAGGGATAGTATCTTCTTTATCTCTGTATCTTATGTGCCTTATACAGTGCTTTGCCCAAAATAGCTTTTGAAAACTATGTATTTTTTAATTGGAGAACAGTTTCTTTCTATATAGCCCTGGTTGGTCTGGTGGTACGTACTATGTAGTCCAGGCTGCCCTCAAACTCCACCCTCAATCTCCCAAGTGCTGGGATTACAGACCTACACCACCACATATATATTAAAAATATTGTTAATGAAAGAATAAAAGCAGTGTATAGGTTTGAAGAGCCGCGTGCAATTATATGAGTCAGTGAACGCTGCACTGCATTACCAATGTTCTACCCAAGTAGACAAAGAAGATTGAAATGAAGGATATCAGAGAAGAGAAATTAAATAGGGGCAGGGAAAATGGAGAAACACACACATATACACACACACGATTATTTTCCCTATACAACCGAAGGGGGGAAAAACACATTAAACTCCACACATGAGCTGCATGGCTGGTAATACCTTTTATCCGTGCTGAATCCAAGAATGCCAATATCTGTGCAAGGCCACACAGAGCAGGAGCTGATAAACATTTAATGAACTCTGCAACTATCAGTTGTGACAAAGAGCAAGTCCTTTCCTAGTACTTGTTGTCTTTTGTTAACCTGGTTCACAATTGTGCCTATCCTGAGCTCAATCAGCAAGGCCTTCAGTGCAGCTTAGCAATCCTGCTTCTTCCTGGTGAACATTCTCCTGGTGAACACTTTAAATATTTTTCCCTCTTTTTTATTTTTTATTGAGCTTTTATACATTTCATACAACAATTCTTAGTCAAATTTAGACCGTCCCTCTTTACTTCCTCCTATGCAGCTATCACTATCCCTCTTGTTTTTTCAGGCAACCTCCTTAAATCATTTAACATTGATGTCCCTGCTTCACCTTCGCACAGGCTTCTCAGCTCTCCGTCATCCTGCTTCTGCCATTGGCCCTCCACTGACAATGCTCTCACCCAGGGTAATTATTTCTTTATTCTAACATCTAATGATCATATCACTGTTATCTCACCTGGACAATTTCCTTCAGAAAACTGCCTTTTCCCTTCTCTTCCATAGCACCATTCCCAATTTTTCACTCCTCAAAGTGATTCATCTAGGTCTCTTATGAATTCCTCTTCTTATTCCTCCTCCTCCTCCCCGCCCCCATCCTCCTCGTCCTGGTCGTCCTCCTCCTCCTTCTCCTCCTCCTCCTCTTCCTTCTCTCATTCCATCTCCACAGTAATGATTCTAGAGCACTCTCTTTAGAGACAGGGCCTCACAATGTAGCTGTAGCTGACCTGGTACTCATTATGCAGCCCAGGCTGCACTCAAAGTTGTAGAAATCCTCTTGCCTTAGCTTGACAATGACTCTTAAGTTCATACCTCTGCTATAGATCACTCCCTCTCCAGAAGTCAAGGTTTGTGTACTCAGCTGCATTTGGAATGACCCCACATGAATGTATTGATATGTCAATGACATCTCAAATTCAATATGTACAAAGCATAAGACATCTGTCCTCTTCCTTGTGCCCCTTCAAACTACTCCTAGAGTATGCTCTATCTCAATGGCATCATCAGCCATCCAGCAACCCAAGCCAGTAAGTCTTGATTCTTCCATTTTTCTTTCTGAGACAGGGTCTTGCTGTAATAGCCAAAACTGACCTTGAACTTGTGGCAGTTATTCAGCCTCAGCCTCCTGAGGGCTGGGATTATAGGCAGGCATTCATTCATTCACAACCACACCGGACTTCCTCAACTTTTCTTCACATGTAATCATGATGAAGTCCTCTCTGATGTTCCTTCAAAGTGAAATGTAAGTCTATCTACTCTCTACCTCCACTGCCCAAACCTTAGTTCAGAACACACAATCAACATCTCTTGTCCATAGGAAATCAACACAGGTCCCTGACATTGGTCTCTCTACTTTCACTTTGGCCTTGCACCTTCAATCAATCATCCATCCAATCAATCATCAAGGATCTTTCTAAAGTGTAAACGAAATCATGACTTTCACCTTACCCTTTGCCACACTCAAAAAACTTTAGGAGCTTTTAATTCCTTTCAAGATGAAATTTAATCTCCTTGTTCTGGTAAACCAGGAAAGCTCTTTATTGTCTGACCTCATGTTTTTCTTCTGAGTCTCATCCTTCACCATTAACTTCCAATCTTATGACTTATGATTCTACACACACATACTCCTCACCTGCCCCCCTCACAGTACCCAGCTATATCTGAGTACTTGCATTTCTCTGTATCTGCCTTTTCATACAAGTCCTTGTCATCTACCATTTGCTTGGCTAGTTGCTGGTTATCCTTTAGCATTATAATCATCCTTTCCTCAAAAGTGTCCTTGGGCCTACCTCCAATTCCCACCCAGGGTAGGTTAAATATCTTTCCTTCAGTCCTTCCATCTATACCTGTGCTTTCAGTAAAAGGTGGAATACCACCTACATGATGTTGTGGGAAAGACTTCCGTGTTCACAAAGAAGCAGCTTTGGCCTCAGCCTTCTTGGAATAGTAGCAGAGGAACCAAGCTTTAGCTGGACATGGTGTCGCATACTTGTAATCCCAACACTCAAGAAGTGGGGGCAGAAGGATAACGAGTTCTAGGCCAGCTTGGGCTAGATAGGTAGTTCCAGCTACATAGCAAGACACTGTTTCAAAACAAAACAAAACAAAAACAGGCACCAACAACTCTGTTTCCCATGGGAATCAATGGTTCTATAATAGGAGAACCTCTCCTCAGAGCCAGGCCTGATTCAGTATAAGTACGAAAGTATTGGAGGGCACAGGGAGGGTAAAGTGAAAAGAATGCCCTGGTACTGGAAAGACGGCTCAGTGGTTAAGAGCACTGTCTGCTCTTGCAGAGGTCCTGGGTTTGCTTCCCAGCTCCCACATGACAGCTAACAACCATCGGTAATGCCAGTTCCAGGGGATCTGACACCCTCTTCTAACCTTAGTAGACATTGCATGACATAGGCGTACTTACATACATGCAGGCAATACACTCATACACACACACAAATAATAATAAATAAAATGCCCTTAAATGTCCTCACTAAAAACTGGAATCTTTAGAAGGGGACTTGACAGAGCTCAGCAGAAGGTAGAACATGCTGTCAGAGTTTATTCGGCTGTGAGAAATGGCCCCATGGAAGTTAATTCTCTGCCAGGGTCAGGAAGTCAAGGAAGAAAAACTGGGAAGTAACTGGGTGGTGAGGTGAGCCAGGCTAGATTTTGCTTTTGTTTGCTGAGCTGGTGCAGTGAGGGCAGACACTGTTTAAAGGGTCCTAGGTGAGTGTCAAAAGATCTGGTTTCTTGTCTCAGTTCTGCCTAGAACCTGTTGAAGAAGTGCTCTAACTTCTAAGCTTGCCTTTTTTCATCTTAAGGTTTTGAATCTCAAATGGAAACAGGAGTCCTTTTAACAAATACAAAAGACTGAAGAGCTACTATTGGAAGCATAGAGCTTTTAAAGAAACTATGCTTTGAGCCATCCTCCTCAAAGCTAGGTGCTGCCTGCTCTAGCGGTACAGAGACTCTAGGCCTTGCCAGAATTTGTCTTCTGGGAAGAAAGCCAGTACACTCCATGACCGAAAGACTGGGCAAGAAAGTTTCCCTTTGGATCTTTACCTAATCTTCCTTAGGGGAGGGATTGGAACTGCAGGAGAGGATTAGGAGGGTCAAGAGGGATAGCAGCAGCTGACTTAACTCCTTCTCATCTAGCACTTGCCCTAATATTCTCCCCATCTATTGTGCATGGTGTATCTCTTTTGACAAGTGAGTGAGGCAGAACCACTGGATTCCTTGGCTCAAGGAAAGGCCTGGTGTAGCCTTCTGGGGAGCTATCAGAGTCCTCTTCTGCCAGTCATCCTCATTTCTCCATCCCTTGATTTTTCAGACCCTCAGAGGGGTCGGAGACAGTTTATCCCCTCTGCACCTCACGTCCAGCTTCCAAGGGCTCTAGTGGGTGGCAAAGCCATTCCCTTGAAACCCTACTTTCTGGAAAGTCTGTCTGGCTTGAACCAGTTTACATTTCTGCATCACTTGATTGATGACAACAGAGGGAATTATAACTGGATTGAGAGATTTTGCAATTGTTTTTAAAAGAAGTTTATTTTGATCCTGATCATCAAAGTAAAGCATGCATACCTTAAAGCACTGGAAAACACAGAAAGGCAGGAATTCAAAAACAAGTAACAGCTGCTATCTCTGTACCTGTTTAAGTGTTGTGAATTTTTTGGTTACAAGTCCGTTTTCAGGAATACTTGAAGAGACTAGTGCCTAAGACCAAACGGAATTTCTAGTGCCATACTTGCAGATCAGTGGGGAGAAATATTGAAGGACTTAAAAGGAGACTTTGTTTTGCGCTTTGACTGGTAAATCCAGCTTCTGCTGTCCCCTGAGCCTTCATGCCCAGGAGGACTTTTGAGCTTCCAGTCCTCCTCAAGCCCCCATAGATAGGCAGGAGGGTAAACTACAGCTTTCTTCCTCCTGTGTAAAAGGTCTAACTTGAAGAATGATACTTCTGGCCCTGAACATTCAAGAAGATGGAACCTTTGACTCAATTTGAAGTAAACACACAGTACCAACCCGAGTGTCTGCTCCCATACCCCTCACTCAGAAACCCTATATAGCCCACCTTGACTCCACCATGAGCTCACTTGACTCAAATTAGGTTGCAAAAGGTACCCACCTACGTGAATCTAAAGGGCAGTAACTGAATTAGGATTGAGATACTTACAGAGCTGTCCTTTTGTGAGCCTTTGCTGATGAGGTGCTTCTGGAGACAGAGGAAAGGGTCCTGAGAAAGGCAAGCTGGATCCAAGGGGCCATGGGCTGAAGTGATAAGGGATTTCTAATTATTAGCCTCAGCTTTGCACAACCAACCTGTAAATCTGAGCCTTCTTACAGATGAGAATTAAACCCCTGGAGACTGGAAAAGATTGAGGTACTTAAAACAAGGTTTGGTGGGTTTTGTGTTTTCCCTTTTCAAAAACTCCAGCTGGGCTTTTGTGTGGTGACCTCTGTGAGCCCAGGAGAAATCTTGGGGGGAGGGGGATTTGGCACTAGGAGGAATTTAGAACATTCCTGCTTTGGGGGGATTGGAAGAGAAGGGGGCTCTGTTATGCCCATTAGGTGTCTCTGGCTTGCTGCCCTGAGGCTCAGCAGGAAGTAAGTCTCGTAAACACAGCCCTGGTGAGCTAGGCCCAAGTAGCCTGGCCCTGCAGTTCTGTGCTGCCAGTCCTCCAGCAGCACTTTCACTGACGTTGATTCTTTAGGAAGCCCCCAGCCCTGCTCCACCTCCAAGACGGATTCCAAGGGCAAACTTGCACACTGTAGGTTTGTTAGCAGAGTTTTTAAGGTGAATGCCTGGGCTCTGGCAGATCCAATAATTTGGGCTCAACTACTCTCCCAAGTCCATCAATTAAAGAGACAAGTATTAATGCAAAGCAGAGAATGGAGATTGATTCAATATGGCCACATTGAGAAGAAGAACAAATAGAGGGGCCCAGTGATCCCTCAAGTCTGTCTTCAGGTATACTGACATGAAATTTAGATTTCGGTAGACGCCTTGTATAACTAAACGATCTTGATCAAGGTGTGGTCCTGCTCCTCCCTGACCCATCTGTTGTCTTTGGCTCCTCTCCGGCAAGGTGGTTTGATAAACTTGTCAGATCTGTGTGAAATCCTTTCCTGGGAAGCAAGTTCCTCCTCTGCCTGGCACCAGACTCCAGTCTTTCCCTTCTCAAGCACAGGGTCCCTAGGCAAATAATTTCTATAGTCAGAGGGAGAGACAGCAAGTGTCTCTCTTTAAAATCTCTCCTCTCTGGGCTAAGAGATATAGCTCAGTTGGTAGTTTGATTTGATCCTGAGTACCCCATAACACCAGACATAGTGGCCCATGCCTGTAATTCCAGCGCTTGGAAGGAGGTTAGAGAATCTGAGGATTGAGGCAAGTTGGAGGCCAGCTGAGCTATATGAGAAACCCTGCTCAAAAATAAATAAGTAAATAAATAAATAAATAAACAAATAAATAGAAAGAAAGGAGTGTAACCTCCTCTCTCCCATGCTCTCTCCTTCCTATTTTCCTTCCTCCCTCCCTCTATTCCTCCCTCTAAAATAACTTCTCCCTTACCAGAACAGTTGCAGGTTTAGTCTCTGTGGGTTCCAAGCAGATCCTACAAGGTGAGACTGATAAAGGTGTCATAACGACAGGCCTTTATTTTTCATCATACACAGTAGTGCTACAGAGACATCATTTAAGACCCTCAAAATTCTGCATAGTACAATGAATGTGTTTCCTCTTCAAGTGGAAAAAAAAGCTTTCCTCTTTTTGTTTTTGTTGATACTGCCATTGTATATATTATAAGAGTCTTGCTATGTAGCCCATGCTGGCCTAGAATTTGAAGGAATACATATGCCTCCAAAGTGCTAGAATTTTCAAATATGAGTCACTGTGCCTGATGTTGTTGAAAACAATTCAGAGAGTAAAATATAAAGAAGAAAATGGAGGTCCTCGTAATGCAACCAGCCAGAGATAATCAGTGCTAACATTTTGATTTACTGCAGAAGTCATTAATGGAAATGTATTTTACAAAACTGAATCACACCATACCTATAAATCTATAACCAATAATTTCTAAAGAATGTATCATGGATCTGTTCCCATGTCAATTTAAAAACACAACCATTTCCTTCTCTTATTAAAATTAATTTACTTATTTTTATTTTATATGTTATGAGTGTTTTGTCTAAATGTATGTAAGCACACCCATGCATGCAATGCCTACGGAAACCAGAAGAGGGAGTCATAGCCTCTGGAACTGGAGTTGCAGGTGGTTTTTAGCCACCATATTGGTGTTGGGATCTGAACCCAGGTCCTCTGCAAGAAGAGCCAGTGTTCTTAATCACTGAGCCATCTCTCTAGCTCCCCATTCATTCTCTTAAGTCTGCATTGCGTTCCAGCATTTAAAATGATTTCTTTAAAAGGACCTGGGTCCTTTTAATAAGATGATGTTATACAGCAGTCCCTTCTGCATGAAATAACTACCATCATCACGACTTCGGCTGAGCCTGATCACTAAACATAGTCACAATTGGGCTTGTTGGCAGTTGTGCTCATTCATTAAAGGAGTACCAAGCAGAGTCACTGGACCCTCACCTGAGTATCCAGCCACTCTTCCCAGTCAACTATTCCAGCCTTGGAAGACAAACGAAAAATGAGGAAGAGCCTAATAGAGGGATGCTTTTGGAAGCCCTTGTCAAGAAACTCCAATGGACTCTCATATGAACATTTGAAAATTGCCCTGTTCTGACTATTTTCTAGTTCCCTGTCTGGAGCTTGTAATGCTAATGACTCTTGCCTTTACTTCTCCTTCACATCCCCCATTCATGATTCAAGGACTTTCTTCTCTCCTTAGAGACAAGAGTTATGCAATTTGGGAGTCTTTTAGATAGACCCACTGAATGACTCACCCTGCGTCCCTGTTCAGCATGGAAGGAGCCAGAGTGGTCTGCATCCCTATTCCCTATTGGCAACTTGGGTAACCCCTTCAGAGGAAGGTGTGATAAGAATAGGAGGTAGGAATTGGCTAAGCAGTTAGGGTAAAAAGACCCCAAAGAAATGTAGCCAGTTTCTTGGCTAAAAGTCAAAATGTCCTTGGGCCTGTTAGCAACATACTCTGTTCCAAAGGCCAAAAATGTCTAAAGTATTTGGGAGCTTGTATCTAATCCTTAAAAGGTTTTGGGGTTACCTCTTCAGAAGGGGGGAATGTTGGAGGGGAGGGAGTGCACATGGATTTGATCAAAACACCTTATATACATGTATGAAATTCTCAATAAAGTTTTTGTAAAAGTTAAAAAAAATGAATAAGATAAAAAAAATTAAAAGAAATTATTTCTTTAACAATTAACGGACTTTTTGTCATTTCCATTTTTTGCTGTTAAAAAATCTCATTTTTCCACACTATCCCTAGAACTAAATTTGTTAAGTTAAAGAATATTGACCTTTAAAAGCTAATACAATATATTACAAGGATAAGATGGGTACTACTCTTTTCAATGATGGGACTTGAGCCCAATGAGGTGAAAGAACAAATTAGCCAGCATCTCAAGGTGAGCAGTAATAGACTGACCATCTGGATGTTTAGTTGACTGAAGTTTCAGGTGTACTACACTGATTCCCAAGGAATCCCATGTAGAAATGCTAATGCCAGGGGCCACTATTCAGTTGTTAGTGACAGGCACTGTGCTGAGGGTTTTTACATACACGATCACACTAAGTGCAGTGCAGAAGCAGGCTTAAGTACCAAACTTGGCCAGTTCTGGAGTTTGACTCTGAATCATTGTGCTTGACACAGTTTTTTAAATAATATAAAAGCAAACAGAATTGTTGCCTAGGGATAACTCAGTGAAGAGAATAAGAAATCATCTTCCTTCCTAAGGTGGCCCATCCTTGCTTTGCAGGTATGAATGAGGCATTGATCTCCCAGCAGTACTCTTGTAAGAAGACTCTAAGATTTTTCCCCCTTGGCTGGCTGGGACAGGCTGAGGGCAGTAAAGCCTGAGCTCAGACCTGGGGACTCAGCATGAAAACAAGTAAGGCTGCAGAGACAGGAGGGGTAACAAGCTAATCCTCTAACCAGCTCTGTGACCTTGAGCAAACCTTTCCATCCTCTTTTTCCAGGCTCCCCCCAGCCCACTCCTCAAGTCTGCACTAATGAATCTGAAAGCATTTTGACAGAAATGCTTAGTAAATGCTGGTTGAAGGCAAGATGTTTGACTTTGTGATGGTGGGGCACCTTATCAGCTCTCAGTGGTACTATGCAATTGAGGATAGGAAAAGGCAGAATCTTAGGGACAGGTGCCAGGGCGGATGAGGGCACCGTGTTCACAGGATGTGGTTACCATGTTGGCAAGCACTCAAGGACTACGTTCTAACAATGCTTCATACAGATTGGCACTGCCAGATCCTGGTGGAACCAAGCCAAAGCGCAAACTCCTCAGTTTTGAGGTTGGGAGGTACCTTAGTTCTTATTCTGGTAAGACCCCCCCCCCCGCTGAGATCCAGTCAGCCTACATGGGTGGAGGATGAAGAGAAGTCCGAAAGAAGAAAGAAGAGAAGCAGCCTGAGGTTGAGGAAAGCAGTATGTGGTTAAGGAGAGGTGTGAGCAGTGTGAGGACAGAGGAAGAAAAATAAAGGTCTGGAAGATGATGGGATAGGGAAGAAAACAGAAGAGATGGGAGACCAGTCTTTAAGGAAGAGAATGGAAGTAGTGTGAATAAAGCAAGATCATGAAGGAGAGGGAACAGGCGGTGTAATGAAAAGAGAAGTCTAGGCTTGGTGATGTAGCTCAGTGGGTAGTGTTGCTTAGTACGCAGGAAGCCCCGGGTTTCATCTACAGCATGACATAAAATTAGGCATGTCACATACCTGTAATCCTGATACTGTTCTGGGGGCTGAAACAGGATTGTCATGAATCTAAGGCTAGTCTGAGGTACATGGTGAATTACAGAACAGCTTTTGCTACAGAGTGAGATCCTCTCAAAAATTAAAAATGAAAATAGGCCAGGCATGGTGGTGCAGCCCTTTAATCCCAGAACTTTGGAGACAGAGACAGGTGGATTTCTGAGAGTTGGGCTAGCCTGGTCTACATAGTGAATTCCAGGCCAGTGGGGCTACAGGGAGGTTCTGTCTCAAAAATAAATAAAACAGACAACAGAAAGAAAATATAATTAAAAGAGTAGTGAACAAGGAAAAATAAGAGCAATTCAAGGAGGAAGGAGTAGGGATGAGCTGACTCTGGGAAGAATTCGGGTCTGTGG